GTTTCTCATGTATGAAAAGTTCTTCATAATGACCTTTTGGCATTCCAGCTTTTATTCAATGTTCATAACAGGCCAACTGGTGGGCAAATATGTTTGCGAAAAAGAGTGTACAGAACTAAACAAATTTCCTTTTTGTTTCTCGGTCGGCTTTCGAGGCTTGCTTTCTCATCGATACCCGCCGGCTGCACTTTTAGAATGCAATTAAAGTCTGTGAGCCATTGCCGATTAACAAAATTAGGGAAACACGAGTGTTCCGGAAATATGTCCGGCTTTTTTGTTTAAAACTCCAAGGTCGTCTTCTAGGGGGACTGAAAAGTTGAAGTCTGGTAGAACTCTATGAAAGTACGAAAGAAAAATTCCTAAAAGCGGTAAGAATGAAGTACATGCGCGGGGTAGGGAAAACTATGGAGAACTACCTACTATATTTTTCAAAGCAGGTGTTGCTCGGTATAGTTTTTAGTCAACTCTTCGTCGGCAGGAAGACATTCACTGACTTGTTGCGCTCCAAGGAGCCAGTGCTACTAAAATTTCTGTACTGCCTCATTGTTCTGCACCCTCCACATGCACTTCTTAAAAGGCAAAATAAAGTGTTTTCGACGGGAATCCAGTCAGGTACTTTGACGGCTATAACCGAGGGAGGATGGCGTTCGTTGAGCTAAACCGCCCCGAGGATCTGTTGCTGCAACAATGCTTACATAGACTTAGTACCATGCCCTTCCCACGCGTATTTCTTGTTCGTAGTCGGCGAAATGTAAGAGGCGTACGCGTCGCCGTCATGTTCGGGTGCCCAACGGAAATTATCATGACATGGCCTCCTCCGTATCCCCTGCGATTTACGGCCTCGCTCCCCCACCCTCAACACAACACAGACAGAGTAGTCAGAATTAATTTGTGTAAAAAAAGATTGCTAAAACGGTGAGTAATTCAGTTGGGGTAATGTCACTGCATGGGATATACTTCCACAATATGGGACAGAGAGGTTTCGCATGCATTCCTCAGGCCTGCGTTGTATAGTTCAAACCACAGACGGTACTGCGCTTCGTCCACATGCCTCCACACCACTCGGCCAG